CAAACCACACAAACTCATCATTAACGTTCATTATTAAATGACTGCTTGCTATTTTTATTTTAGTTAAAAACAAAATAAAATTTATTTTGGCAACTGCTTTAACGATTACATTTCCAAATGTTTCAACCTAATTGATTGAAATATTTTAAAGTTTGTAATTTCGATGCAGCCTTGTCGTCGCAGAAGTGTATTTTGGAACTAATCGCAGCTGCAATGCGTCCAGTTTACATTGCCTTTCATCTAACTATTGTATTACAAAATTTTCGAACACAATGCGCAAAATATCGATTGTAAAGTTAAATGTGTTATACGTAACCTCATCGTGTTGACATCACATATTTTCCATTCCAATCTTTTCACGCAAATAATCTCACATCATCACACGGTAAAGAAAAGCAACGGACCAATATGCCGCCAATCTAAAATTCCGATAATGTACCAGTTTAGCGAGCGCGGTAGACATATGCATGTATCCACAAACTGCATTGAAGGCAAGTAATTTCGCACGAAATTCGTGCGTAATTTAGCGATATTTTCGAGATATTGTATTACAGTGATATTTGCTTGAGTTGTTGATGTGAGTATATTTTCTGAGTATGGATCAAGAAAACATCTATTACAATAAATTAATTTTCTGGTTGGATTTGCTGGACATCGAATAGCACTAAGAAGTGAGCCTAGAGCCGACTTATTCAAAATCTCATATTTACTATTTTAATTTACCTGATATTTGGTAATTAAATTCTCGCATATATTTTTTTCTTTCTGGGAAATGGATCATTTACAATTCGATGAGAATTGGCAAATCGTACGTCATAAGCAAAATATTATTTCTACTTACTTCTTATGAGAAGTCGAGAAAATTACATTTATGAATTACGTCTTATGAACTTATCGATTTTATGGTTCTCATTTAAGGTTTAAAAATTAATTCTTACATCTGAAGAATTTGTTGGAGAGGGCTATATGATCTAGTCTTCAGATTTCGATGGTTTTCAGTGCCTTTCTTCATTTCTATACACCTGTGTAGAAAATCAAATTTCACGCCCTTAGATATTTTTTGACGAAGTTTTGAGCAAAATCATTTATTAAAGTAAAAATGCCTTGAGAAACTGCAAAATCAAATATTGTCAATAATTTAATTAAAATTTGTTAAAATGTAAATTAAGATGTTTGAGCAACGAAACAAAAGAAAAAGCTCACATGAATGGTACCAACAGTGTGCGCAGACCTTTTTCAGGCCCAACCGAATGGACCTAAGAAAGTTAAAAATAGCCAAAAAGCTGAAAAAGAAGAAATAATTACAAAGTAAAAAATTCAATTGTTCTTTTAACGCCAAACTCTTCCAAAAAACGTGTTTATTCAAACAAATTCGGTTAATTTAAAACAAACATTGAAGAACTAAAGTTTTTGTATAAGTAGACTTTTAAATATATTAATTGAAAAAAATTTGTATTCCTTTTCAAATAGCGACCCTTGAAATTGCTGCTGAAACATTTCGCTTTTGTTAGGGAAAATAATATAAAACGAGTCATCTGAAAGCAAATTTAAGACGGATTCTTATTTTGTATCATACTGGCTATGGCCGCAACTACAATGAAAAAATTTCACAAAAAAAACATAGTGCCGGTATTTTTTAATTTTTTTATCCTTCTTCAATTTTAATTGTTTATATTTTTTTTTAAATAGCAATGAATATATAAAAATATGATCGGTATTACATAGGAGTAAACTGTCTTTGGTTCACGTTGATAAGCTCTAAATAAGAGGAGCGGCCAGATTTACCGCCTGGCGTGCTCCCCTCTCACCCTCTTCTATACTTACTTCCTGGTCTTGGGAACTTTTGAGACTAATTCTATGTTATTTGCAAGAGCATTTTCTGGCAATTTACAGGGGAAAAATTCGACTTTTTGATTAAATTCATAAATGCATATCATTGCTATAAACTATAGATGAGATACCGCTTCTGAAAATATTTTCTCCAATACTTTGAAGCCACCAGCATTTAAATTATCTATCGTTTAATAAATTAATGTTCGCTACTTAATGCGATATTTAATGCTCGTAAGCCAATAAACACAAATTTTTCTAGCCTGTCCATTCTTTTGATCTTTCACAAATCTAGTAGGAGAGAAAAGAGATGTTATATACCTTGTACAAGCCAAAATCTAAAACGGATTTCATAGATCGCAATCACAAAGATATTAGCACTGACCTTTAGTGGTTTGGTCGACATATCTGACAGAACAATGATAAAAGCTAATAATATTTTTATAAAAGTAGGTGATCATTAAAGCATTTTAATTAGGAAAACAATCCCAAATCCATTACAGCGATTTTTTATTTTGAAGAGAGTGGCGCAAAATATTGGAAAATTAAATACTAAAAATAAAATACAAATAAATATAGTAAAATTAATAATACTACTTAAAAGTAATGGTTCTTATTGTTTTAGCTCCTGCCAATAAAATGGCTAACACACTTTTAAGAACAAAATGTGTCTTTCTCTTCGACAAATATACATATACAATAGAAACAAATATTCACCGAAAAGTTATTTTTAATGTATTTTTTATTTTCGATGAACCACTTTTTGCTACCAAACATATTTTAGATGTCAGGGCTATTTAGTTATTAGTTATATAAACATAACAGCGATACTTCTTTCGCTTCATTTAAACATGTGATTATAAACAAAACCAAAAAAAGTTGTTCCTAAACCAAATTAAAGGCAGCTTAAAATTTCTCAAAAAAGATTAAAAAAAAGGTTAAGCTTTATTTAAATTTTTAAAGCTAAACAACGTAAGCTAAATTTCAAATTGTCTAGCTAACAACGTAAAAAGTAGCTAGATTAACCGAGAAAAAATTCTAAAATGAGAACACTGATAACCAATTAACGAAAAATTATGCATTTTACCAAATTGGTATTTTGTTACTCGGTCTCTGTTAATTCCAGTGATCAGTGGTTAACGAAATAACTGGTTCAAACACCCCCATCACTATACAGTAAATCATATTGCATATTGTTAGTAGAATCATAAGTTCACATTATTGCACAGCAAAACAAGCAATCAAATTGTGGTATGTAAAACTTTATTTAATTTTTTAAGTATAACCCTCCATATGCCATTTTAAAATAAAACTTCGCAATGATTTTGTGGGGATATAAATACAATGAGTGATCCAAGAAGAAAAACTTTTTTCAAAGCCTTTTTTGACAGATCACTCATGAGTCGTTTCAAACTGTCATGTTCCCTGTAGTTTGACGATTCATCATGTCAGTCCTACCAAAGCGTTCAACTTTGTTATTAAAAATCAAGTTCTGGTCATCATAATCAGCCCACTTAGCATACTATTCGCAACTCCATCACCCATCCTGAAACCCAACATTAATTTTTAATTAATATTCGACGGGATAGACTACGTACAGCACGCAGTGAAAAACACCGTGTAGAACAGGTTCCGCGCCGTTAGCAGAAACTCGGACGGACGTATGGAGCTACTTGACACACTTTACGTCGAGATCTAAAATTTAAAGGTTACAAAATACTGTTTTTTTTAGTATTTGAAATTGATAATCTTCAAAAAATGTTCCTAATAAATAATCCGAATTAAAGTTGAATTTTCTGTGTTATTTTCTTAGAAAAAAAAGGAAACTTTAAAATACATAATATAAAAACAGCAGAATCTTTTACTTAATTCGTAGAACGCTCATAACTTCGTATTAAGATATAAAGCAATACAATTTTTACATATAATTTTATTTATTATTGATGAAATTTCCATTTCAAGAAGAGGCTTACGATTTGCCTCACATTTTTTGGCATACAATGGGTGAAAGGCTTTTCCAAAATTTTGGAGTAATATTACTATAACGTATAATTAAAATTAGATAATTAAAAATATAAAAAATATATAACCAGACAAATAAAATGTTCGGTTTTTCATTATTAATTTGTTTATCGCCCTTGTGTTTTCCGTAAAGTAAACGAAAATACAATGCAAAGTGAAGCATATTTGGTTTTATCAAATGATTTTAATACAACTCTTATATTTTCAATAAATAAATTGGGTCTGACATATTTAAGCGCCTTAACTGATTAACGAGCTGATACAGATGGATTACTTATATGAACTACGGTATCTGCGGAGAAATATTATTTTAACGGTGAGAGACTAGAAAGTGTAATGTGTTTACTAATAAATTTTCTTCGAAATAAAGTTTACTAAACGTTATAGAATTTAAACAAAGAAAAATTTTGTAAAAAATTATTAGTCTTTCAAAAGGTTGTTATACTGTTTGGAACAGCTTGGCTATGTCAAAAACCTTTAACTACAACAGCAATAAGAACATTAGACGTGATATCAACGTAATATCATTAAATACACCCATATATATGTAAATATATACGTTCGCTGGCGCCCATAGTCAGTAAAGGAGTACTTCAGGCTTTGCATACTTTTCGGCGTTCACGCTAACTTAACAAGGTCATGTAAAATGCATGAAGTCACAGACGAAGGTGATGTTAAGGCTACGACAACAACAAAGCCAGTAAAAGAATCATATGAGTCAAAGCCGAGAAAAGTGAAACAACACCCTTGCACGTGTACGAATGAATGCCAACAGCGAAGTCAACTGCTTAAATGCACATGCCAAAAGGCATTTACATAAATATGTGGGAGTATGTGATTATGTACATATGTATGTGTAGATATGGCCATGTGAGCCTTATGCTACCAAACTTTTATATTTACATATCTACATATCCTCTAGTGGAGGAAAATATTTCGCCTACTCATAAAGTGCCACTGTTACAGAATAGCTGATGCGCTGTCATCAAAAGTGTCAGACACACAACAATCACCCACAGGCACCTAAGCGACGGCACATACATATCTACATGCATACCTTTCTATTTGCATTTCATGTAAAAAATTTTATTTGTCGAAAAAACGAAAACGAGAAAACAAGAGGAGAGACAATTTTGAAATAAAATGAAAAAGGCGTGAAAATTGTAAGTAGCAGCAGGACAACAGCAACAACATAAAGTACTAAAAGCTAAACATTTGAAGGCTAAATAGCTGAAGTGGCATAGCTGAAGAAGCGCGACATACAACAACGGTAATAGAAATTCAGTCGACAGAAGTGGATAAGTGCTAACCTGCTTAGACGACTAAGTGGTCGTAGGCGTCACTGAAATCAGGAGAAGAAAAAACTTGTATAAAGCTTAATTTAAGAAGCGGATAAATGTCTGGTTGTGGACGAAGTGGATAAGGCAAAGTTGAAAGCAGTGTTAAGCATGACGTTGAAAGATGCACCAAGTCAAGGTACATCTAAAAATTTTGTTGTAAAGCAGTGAATGGCATTGTACTTTGGTAGAAAATGTGAAGTATTTAAGTAGGCAAATGAGTGGCAAATTCAGGACAACGAAGCGTTTAAACATCTCTACGTTAACTGGAGCGTAAAATGCATTATGAACACTACAGAGAGCTAGATTAATTTCTTCATAAATATTATAATCACAGTTATATAACAGATATCAGCTAGAATTTCAGGTTTGTTTCGAACTGAAATCTATGAACTTATCAAGTACTTCGACTGAAAACATAATTTTAGTCTATACATTTATTAACACTGCCTATAGCTAAATTAAATTCTTTCATTGTATTCATCAACGCGAGGAAAGCAGCGAATTTTCCACGTCAAACTTTGTTGAAGATCAATGAGAAAATCTGTCAACAACTGTAGCGAAACAAAGAAGATTAAATTAGCATATAAAAGTTCGCTGGTGTTTACATGAATTTTTTATACTCATACGCAGCTATCATTAAAATATCCATTAATTTATTCATATCTTTTTGTCTGGAAACTTTCGCGTCTGAGCGACGTTAACCAATTGCATATTCGTCCTTGGCATTCATGGCTTGTAAATAAATTCTTACTGTATTTCACACAAACTAATTGTAATATTGAAAAAATAATCCATGGTAAGAGGCATTGCCAAATAATTTGTTTATTGATAGTTGTATACTTTTTTATATAGGTACTTATTATAAATATATACAGTACCATAAGTACGAGTATATATATTTTGGTTTGCTTCTCCAATTTCAGAAAGCATAAAGTGTAACTTTTGTCAATAATATCTTCTATTTTGCAATTTTATTTTTTTCGCACGATTCAGACTAAAACTGAATCATCCAGTGTTTGTGTGAGACCATCTTCTCACTTACATCGTAACGATTAATTTCACGTTAATCAAAAATTGTCTATGGATTCGGTTAAAACATTTAGAAATGTTGTCGCTAAAGCAGTTAGTAAAATAAATTTTATTTCGATTTTACCCAAAACCTAGTAAAGTATTAGAGCATATCGCACATACATAAGTATGTTGTCGTACACATGACTTTATATATAATTTCATTTTTACCCATAAAAAATTACCAAATTGCTTAATTGTTTAAGCGATATTTTGTACGTGACATTTATGTAAACTTATTACGGGTGCAACTCAATTTCGCAATGTGAAATTACAAATTTGTTGTTCGCACAAAAATCAAAATACCAAGTTACATAAACATACTCTACATTAGCTTGAAGGAAGTTTATTAGACGTAATTTAATTTGAAACTTAGGAAGAAGATGGTTTTAATTGTGGAACATCGAAGAAGAGCTTTTATGCACTTTGAAGCTTATCGCACTTTACAAAAAGAGTGCATTACTTCTTTTTACATGTATCTTTGGAATGAAATACTCTTAGGGTAGTTCGCATAGTCGTATGTACCTAAAACTTCGATGGGTTTTAATTTATTACATTTTTTTTTAAATGATGAAAATTATAATTGATTTTCTAATCGAAACGTATCGTGTAAGATGCATACTTTTGAAAACACATATTTATATTATTTAGTTTTTTAAATAGGTGGTCAGTCTATTGCCAAACTCTTTTCGGCCAAAGATAAGATGGCGGCTTTAACAAAGCATGAACAGAAAAAATTTTTTGCTGAGGAAATAGACAATAAAATCAAATTAGTTCTATGTTATAAGAAAATAAGTGAAATTTGGCGGACAGATTTTCCAAAAAAAAAAAAAAACAATTTAATCTACCCAAGAAAAAAAAGAACACACACATATTTGTATACATATGTAAAAACTAAAAAAAAAGAGATGTACTACAATCATATAATAAAGCAATGTAAATTGAATAAAAGTTTACGTTCAATCAGCTGCGGTCAAACACGTAGCAAAAGCAGACAAATATACATAGCTACACTAATACTCACGATCTTCCCCTCTATTATTGTTCTCTCCTCAGCAACTTCCTCTTTTGTAGTTTATTGCTTTCGGCATTTTTATATTGCTTTTTTTGTTCAATGAGTGATAATAGGGTAAATAAAAAATAAATAAAACTGCCGTTAAAATGCTAAGCAAACGTTGATTGCTAAAGTTTCCACCAGCTCATACTCACAACCACTTGTGAATGTACTACGGACATTTGAGCATATGAGGTGATGTGCAAAACGCTAACTAAAACTTCCACCACTGACCATCTCTCTGGACCAACCAAGAACATGTGTAGCTCTATAATACCTTGTTTACAATATATAATGTATGTATTTATGTATACAAACGAGGGCAAATATAAATGCACTCAACGAAAAACCCTTGTACACCACACTTGCATGATGGATTAGCAATCCAAAACTATCCAAAACTCCATAAGAAGTATATGGTATTCTAAATTGCCAGATTTCATCAAGAAATCGAATTTGTATAAATCTTCCTTTGCACATTTTCTGTAAATAAAACTTTTTGCATACTTTGCAATTTCGTGCAGTTATTGTTTTCGTTATAACACTAGCAATGATCGGCCTAAAATAAGCTGTTGGCGAGACATGAATTGGTTTACTTCCACATTACAGAGGAGTATATTGTGAGTAATCAAGTGGTCTACAAACTTTTGCTGGGCAAAAATGAAGTATGTATATATTGAGCTGAGCATGATACAGAATTGCAACCAGCTGCTACCAAAGAGCTAACCAACATATTGCAAATAGCATGTATATAGACACAAAAATTGTAAAGTAGATAAGCAACCAAAAACACCGTTCAACTTACTATTTGTTGATTCCACAAATATTGTGAAATGTGCAGACCACCAAAACATGTGGCCGAGCAAACTAGTAAAAAGGTTGGTAAGACTCGAAGATGAAGATTAATCTGTCCAAGGATGGCGTGTGACGTATAAAATAGTTAATTTTGAGGAGATGTATAAAATCGAAAAGCGAATATGCTGCTTATATATATTTTTTCATTCTATTTTTTCAAATTAACTTAATTATAATTTGTATGTTCCAATTTGTTTAATTTTTTTTAATTTAATTTTTTTATTATTGTTTATTTTATATTATAAAATATTTTTCATTTTATTTTAATTTCTTATTTTTTTATATTTTGTTATATATTATATTTGTTTATTTTATTTTATATTACTTAAACTAACTTTATTTCACTCTATTTGATTTGATTTTATTTTATTTTATTTTATTTTGTTTTACTTTATTAAATTTAATTTGATTTTATTTTATTGTAATTTATTTTATTTTATTAATTTTCTTATCACATTTTATTCTATTTTATTTTATGATATTTAATTTTTTTCATTTTATTGTATTTAATTTAACTTTATTACATATTATTTTATATTATTTTAACAAATTATATATAATTTATATCAATTTAATCACTTTTCTTTAATTTTTTTAATAAATTAAATATAATTACATATTAGTTTAATTTTTATATTGTAACTGAAATTAATTTTATTTAAAGTAAAGATAAAAAAATAAATTATATTATAAACAGTTTTAATTTTTCCTGTCAAAAAAGCTCTCTTGTATGCTCACAAACGGTTAACAACTTTATAAAACAAATAACAAAACTCCTTAGTCCTTACATAAGAGTAGTATGTATTTTTTGTTTTGTAAAGCTTTGTAAATTTTGCTTCATGCGGGTCATTCGACACATACAAGAAGCAAAAGGCCCACACACTCTCAACCGATTTTAGGGAATTTCAAAAACATCACCACTGGTTGTTAGTGGCTTTGGAAAATGGAAACTACAACTCTTTGTGTATATTTGAGAATTAAATTTGTATTTCAATGTAACAATTTTTTTGTCGTTTTTATACTTTATCTTTTTTTAACTTTTTTTGCATATGTCTGCATATTTAGTAGAGAAGCTATAAACAGACTGACTTTATTACAAAAATGTATATGGTTGAACATATCAATAGTGGCTACTCTGCGCTCTTCACAGTCCACTTACGGACTATCGTTTGCTGGTTGAGCTTGCACACTTTCATTGGCAATTTAGACCTTTACCTGTAATATGGTATCAATTTACAATCGCATGCAACATTCATTATTTGTTATCATGTTTTTGGGTTTTTCGATGGTTTCCGTTACATTTTATACATTTCTTCCATTTGCCGCAGGTTTTGGATGTATTTTGGTAAAAAAATATTACTTTATTTGTGAAGATGTATTTCTAAATATAATCATATTAAAAATTATTATTAATTTGAATAATATAAGAAAAGGAGAATTTGGAGTGTTTTGTATTTACTGTGAAATTGTTTGAGGTTTGGTTTAACTGAATTTCTTGGGATTAAAATCAGGAAGGCAGAAAAAAGTTGTTCAAACTTTTAAATTCGGTCTGGTATAGCATCACTGTTTTGGACAGTTGGATTTCCAGTTAGTATGAAAAATTAAAGAATTATACAAACGTTAAATTAATTAAGAGAAATTTATTGATAAGCCAAAGTAAAAAATGAATTGTTTGGGAGAAGCACCAACTTTCACTCGCACTATTTTCTGATATAATATTGTTAGATCACCCTGTGACAGTTCAATAAGTTAATCTTCATGCTTTGGTTGATCTAGTTTTATATTTGTCACATTCTAAATACATATGTATGCGATTTGCTATCGGAACCCTCAAACGCCACGCCAGAAACATTAAATTAACAAAATATTAGCGATTTTAAAATAACTTTTTTTTATTCCATCTAATTTGACACAAAAACTAATAAAAAAGTATAAAAATATGAAATGATAAAAAGTATCCGGGTATTCTTTTAATTATTATACTATTTTATATTATATAATTTTATTTAGCATAGTTCTTAACTTTATACATTCTATGCATATTTCCTACATATCAATTAATCATTTTTTTTTGTAAATAAGTAGAAAATTAAGTAAAAAAAAATTAAATACTTGCTAACTTTCAAGCAAACCATAAAATTTCAAGTACAAAATTCTCACCACAACACCTTTCCACACAGATTTATTTTAGGGCTGTGTTTGTTGTATTCTCTTTTATGTGGAAAACTTTTTCCATCAGCTGATATGCCAACAAATTGTATGTACTCAGACCATGATAGCTGACATTAATATGTCTCAAGCCATACTCCAGCCACCGCTCCATAGGACCACCATTCATTTGCAATCATCTGGTGTCCCGCGCACACTTTAGCAATTTGAACGTATGTTTGTTTAGTTGTGTTTGCACATATACATATGAATATATGTACTTTCTGTACATCTTTGCTGTGGCTTACAAACCACAATGGGTGGTCAAAACTTCGACATGGCAATCAACTCGTAATTTCTGATCAAAGCCATCGGGGTAAGAGAGATATATTTTGCGAATAAAAAAAATAGCCGAAATTCGTATGCTTTCAGAGTGTGTGTGTATGAGTATGTGTGCAAAAAGTTATGGATATGGAGCTAATTCCCACTGCAAAATACTTGCACGTAGAAATTGATAAGTAGATGCGTTTAATGCGCAGCTGTAAACTCCACAGCTAACTGTGGAACTGACACTATCCCCGTCGTACAAATTTAAAACATATTTACGCTTTTAAGCTGTCTTTGCTGCCCTCGGCAATGACCACCGATATTTTAAGTGTAGAAAAGTGCAACTATTTTTTACTGCTCTTTATATATAAATAAATATATTCGCTCCCTATGGAAAAATACGTACGGGCACAGTCAACTAGCAGGTGTGGCATTTGCTCAAGAATTATAAATATTTTTTTGTACAAAATAATCAGAGAGAATACAAAAAAGCAGATGCATACATAAGATATATACATATATATATGGTATATATATATCTATTATATTTATATATGTATACATATAAATACATGCAGAATCTCAAGTTGCACTTTTCATACCAGTTTTGGTTACATTTTTACTCATTTTCTTTACATGTATTCACTTATTTACCTATTTCGCTTTTAACGTTTTTTTTTTGTTTTTACAGGTCTTATTGCTGGACTCAAGGATGTTTCGGTTACAATACCGCAAGCGGTGAAACGTGGCAGCAATGCATTGCTCATATGCAATTACGATATGGAAAATGATACTTTATATTCGGTGAAATGGTATAAAGGACGGAGAGAGTTTTATCGTTATACACCAAAGGAAAATCCGGCAATGAAAGTTTTCCCAATGGCAGCCGCCGGACTAAGTGTTGAGGTAATACACACATATAAATACTTCCCTAGCATGTATATAGATATATTTTAATGAATAAAAATAGAGCACGACTACTTCGATAGAAATACAATCATTTTCCATGTCCACATGCGGGCGTGTATATATCCAGCAGAAATTGTCTCTGTTGAATGTGAGCTATTTATTACTCATATTTAAATCATAAAAAAATTTGCAGAATATTTAATGACTTCAATTGAAAAATAAAAAAATATTGGGCAAGATGGATATATATTTTTTGATTTTAATAAAAGTTGAATGACATTGCGACTTTGGTTCGAAGACGAAGATTCATCTACGGCTCACATACATTAATTACGGGAAGAGTTTTATAAATTGTTAAATATTAAATTCTTTGGATAATATTTTCATTACATTTTCTTAGAAATTGGTTTCTCTTTTTGTGTGGCCTTTCTTTGTAGTTACGTGTTTTTATACTTTTTTGAAGAAAAATTTGCAAGAGCATCCGGTAAAAAAACAAATTTATTACACTATCTTCTCCCGCTTCCTCGTTGCGTAGGCATTGCTTACGTGATTAAGGGGTGATGGTCTTCCTATTGCTTTGCTTCCATCAGCCGTGCTGCATGAAATATTTGCGAACCCGGAATGACCTCGCTAGCGCAGCCGTTGTCTCTTCATTGACTGAAACATATCAATGTTACATGTATACCTCATCGCAAGGGATCATAAATCTTCCACAAAATTTTGTTCTGGAAAACTTTGAGTGTCGCCTCATCGGTTAGCGACATCGTCTACGATGCTGATCCTTTTATTAAAAAACACGAATGATTAGCGACTTTTGGACTTAAGGCATTATTTTTCGGATGAAGGCTTAACTTTTCATTAGCCCACTCTATCCAAAAAAGCTAAGTTAATTGGATTTCGAACTTACTTAAACTGAGTGCATTGTCTGCTTATTTAATGAAATACTCCACAATCCTGACTGTCTAACATGGTTCAACGTTAGTTTACAGCCCTATAAATTTTGCACGGATTCCAAATTCAGACATACACGTATATGCAGCTATGGAAAGCAAATTTAAAATCAATTATGGATGGAGAATGGTGGATTTGCTAAATCTAAAGTCACACTGATAAGGTCCAAGCAGTTTGTTTGTTACAATCGTCGGGTATCCTTTTGTCTGACCATGTTCTGCATAGCAACAGATATATGAAACCTTGCAGTTTTTCTTCACTGTATTTGATTAGCTCAACCTTTGATTAGGGCTTGGCATTCCTGTGAGTGTTGCATTCCCATTCAACTAGTTGGAGAATGTTGTCTTCATAAGCTTTATGTTTCAGAAATTGGTCACCAGCTTATTTCCTTGGCTCGTAGATGAGTAATAGTTAGTTAGATAACGGAACCCTGATCAAGCATACATAAGTCTAATGGACCGTTGTGGTATTAACGTTTATCCTGTTAAGGAGATTGCTTTTAACCTTTCAAATGTTCAAACCAATTGGTTGGTCTTACAAAGTTCGGTAGAATGATGCCTACCGATACAAATTCTGCAATGCAATCGACAAAGAAGTGTTCAAGAAAACGTTAACGTTAATGGCACTGAAAGAGTTAATGTTCCACCGAATGCCCCTGGCTCCATGTCCCAGAAGCTGCTGTAGAAGTTGTTTTAGAAGAACTCCATTATTCTACCATGAGTCCCTATAACATTATGTCCGGTTGTTATGCTTGTGCTGCTCCGGCTTAGAAGAAGTAGAGACTTAGTTCGCTTTACCTCGTGGCTTCACTCTGCCTTCTCCTGTTGGCCCTTCTGGTAATGGCTAACCTAAGAAGATACTTTGCTGAAGAAAGCAATATGTACACATCATCTGCAGAGTTTTCTTTCCGTGGTTATAACTATTCCCCTCCTGACCGGTTCATCGGCTACGAAGTTCTCTGAGATGTCTCTATGACCAGGGACCCAAATTACGGACGTTTGAGATACAGTCGAGAGCTTGTTTAAGATTGAAACATGCAATCGTGAAACGGTTTTCGTTTACGCGGTTACCTTCGCTTGGAATACGCTGCAGTAGACGGACACTTTTTTACTTAATTCTATAGTAAGAGTTCAGAGTAAACTTCACAATCTCGTTTAGGCTATTTGGAGTTATCTCCGTTGAGATAATTTAATGTCGTGCGTTTTTTCTAAAATTTTTAATAGGAAATATGTGAGTCTTTTTCGCCGAAAGTACTTTAAATGAATGTGCATTTTTCTGCTGCCTTTGTTATGAAGATTATTTTCGCTTTAGTACCACACTTAGCGTATTCGCCCCATGAAGAGATAAGCTGAGTAAATACTATATAATAAGAGGTGGCGTAATGTCCGTTACAGCCTATAATAGGAGAGGAAAGATAGCATTTATTTCTGGAGTTTTAAAAAGTTGAAAAGATCTTTTGTCCAAATCATCCTATTGCAATATAATATTGCTTATATCAGATTCATCACCATCATTTTTTCAATAAGTTATACATAATAAAACAAAAAACAGTATAAATGTCAACTAATAGATATTTTTTTTATTTATGATTCTAGACGTTGGACAGATAAATGTTTCGCATAAGTCAATAAAATAGTTCTTATATATCAAAAAAAAAAAATTAAAAAATAAAAGATAAATTGAATTTTCTTTAAATACTAATTTTTTTAATATAAACTAAATATTAATATTAGCATGAAGAATTAATGAGATTTTTTTAAAAAATATATCGATAGCTTTAAGCAACATTGGAAAATCGAGTAACTATTTACAGTTTTCGGAGTAGCCGACTTCTATTTTCTCCACATATTTTCGGGATATTCGGTTTAATTATTATTTAGATATTTCTCTAAATTGTTCAATGTTATATTTAAAGCTTATTTAAAATCTTAACTAAGTCTACAAATCAGTTTTAGGTAGGAATAAAATTTCGTTATAACAATTTTAATACGCAATTGTTGCAACACAAAACGCTTACTCTGTTAACCTGTTAACGTTTTATTTAATCCCTACAATATCATCGTCTTATGGATGACTGAATGCGTAATGATTAATTAATGAGTTAAATTATCTCATTATGAGTGCTTATTGCTTTACGAGTACAGTGTACGGATAAGTATGTGTGTTAAAGTACTTACATATATATTAATATGCATAGATGGCTTTCTAGCAGCTTAAGTTGTAAAGGTGGTCTCGAATGCATTTTGAACAGGATTCAAGTTACCTGTTTGTGTACTTACACACATAACTGCATTTACATATAATTATATATATGTATAAATATATATATATATTATATATGTACGTATGTATATATAAACTTGATGTTATTACCTATGCATGCCTCATTAAGTCAGTCATACACTCTCATATATTTGTGTGTATGTAAGTAAATATTAATCCAAGAATAACGCAAACATGGAGACAATAATAATAAAAACAAAACTTACATACAAAGCAAATTTTAACGGCATGTCGCCTGCCTTAAATATAATACACATACATGCATACGCATGCGTAATAATAAGTATTGTATTTAATTGAACGCAAGTGTTGGTGGGTACGCATTTGCACATTAAATGTTAAATATTTTTATGTATAAACGAATGTGTATGTTAAGTACATGAATATGAATGAAATTCGCTGTGTTTGCATCGATTTGCTTCCATTTAATTATGGCAAATAAACGAGGTAAATATGAAAAAATAGCGGAAATGCTTATAAAAAACTTTAAATAATTGAAAATGATGGGAAATGAAACGAAACGCAACGAATGTTGTTATTATGTTTTTTTATAATCTACATTGAAAGTAATGAGTAGGAACGAATCTTAATACTTATACACACTTAATAATTTATAATTGTTTAATAACCTAGAATTGGTGCGAAATTTATTTTTCGTAGCTTTTATGACTTGTTCCGATTCTCTGTACTAATTAAGTGTGCATTTATTTAATGTATACATAAAAACTTGCTAAGTCCCACAAGATGTGCTCTCGCATGAAATTATAATTTTTGAATAGGAAAGAAATTTGACTTGATTTGGTGTTGAAAATTATTTACTTTGGATTTGTCTACATTTTTTTATAACGCAGCTTGACAAATAACATTTTATGTGCTCTGTTCCAGTGCGTAAATTTACAGAGAAGAAAGCTTTCCAATTCGTGAATATGCCACGTATAGCTGGCCGTGTGAGAAACATGGCATTTCCAAATTAATGAAACATATTTCTAGCGACCATAGTTACCGCGATCACTCAAGTTGACATAAAGTTTTCACTGAAGAATTTTCAATTATTTACTTTTTGAATAGCCGAAATAAAGGAAGCAAACGACCGAAATTGAATAATTCGTACAGATTTCAGATCAGTTGAAGAAATGACACGAATAAATTTCATAGTTAGACAGCAGCAATTTTTTGATGCTTATAGGAAACTTCTCATATTTCGTTGCAGGGTAGCTTCCGGACCTTGAAACCTTCCAACTCACTTAATTAGGATCATGTTGTCATAAATATATCAAAAAAAAAATTTCTGAGATGTCTTTGTGCGGTCCGAAGGGTTTAAAAATAATATTTATACAAATTTTTATCGCTGCTAAAAGCTTACAGTATAAACGTTTAAAAGAAAAAAATGTGTTAAATATAGCGTCAATTAACAATTATTTAAATTGGGAAATATGTTGTGATTATGAGACTAATTTTTAAATTTGCTACAAAAGATATGTATATATATATATATCTTAATATTAGTTCAAAGAGAAAGTAATCCATAATTTTTGCAATAGATAACTATAATGATCTGTAAAGATAATGAGAGAAGTTAATATTACTTAAATATAGCGCCGGTTACCCCTGTGCCTTATATAATATTACTGTTTCGAATACCCAGAAGCGAAGCGTTGCTCATAAAATAGTCTGGAACTCCTTGAGAAACTCGATGATGGGTGCCACAAGAGTTAAAGAGAAATAGCCTCATGGACCAAATTTCCGCCTGCAAATTGCAGCTGAATCGTGGAACAATCAATACATTTCTGAGGCAGATGATGATAAATGATGAAAATTGGATTACTTACATCAAAGTTAGCCAGCACATAGTCCTCAATCCAATTATTAATGGCCAGGTAGATTTTGTCGTGTGTTTGTTGGGATAGGCAAGGAGTCGTCCAATATGAGCTGCCTCCCTACAGCTAGACTCTTAATTCGGATCTGCACTGTTTACAGTTGACCGCCTGCAGAAAGCAACTGCTCAGAAGTACTTAGCTTAGGCCAACAGGAGATGAATTGTGTTTCATTAAGACAACACCAAACCACACATAGATAATGATTCGCCGGAAGTTCCGATTTGCTTGGTTTATTAAGTTCATATCTATCCACCTTATATTTAGTTCGCATTTCGCACCAATTGACTATCATATCTTTCTATCTATACGACGGTGAGAATCGATTGTCACAATTTTTTTTGCTAATATGGACAAAAGTTTCTATGAAAAGGAACATGATGACACTACCTTCTCACATGCAAAAATTTATAGATCAAAAAGCTGTATATTTCACATAAGTCGGGTAATTCTAACTATGGAAAATAAAGCGTTCAGTTTAATTCAAAAATAATGAATGACCTTTCACTTGACCTAAATAATAATTGGCACCTGAAGCGACTATCAGCGAAGCTCCTCCTCAAATTTGTGTTTTGCTTCTTTATGTCTTTCTAACAAATGGATAGACCTATATTATATACTAAGCTGTCCCTGAACGGCCGATGGATTTTATAAAGAGCTCTTTTATTTAGTGTCAGAAATGTTTTCTAGGGCGTTGAAATTCCCTGCCGAGGGAGTGGCTTTTTGTTGGTCGGACCAGGACTCAAATTTTCACCTATCGGAACTTCAGTAAACACTGCTAGCCATGGTCGTTCTTTATTTAACGAAAGACATTATATATGTAAATATTTCTGGTGTATTTCCAAGAACAACTTGTAACGCACAAGCTCGCATATATTTGCACAAAAATTTACAAAATTAAAATTAATAAATTAGAGTATGTAGTAGTTGTTGGTGAGCACTCGCCTGCTCTGTTGTTTTTTTGCTGCATTGGAAACCTCACAATAAGTAATCAAATCAATATTAAATTAAATATGATAAGCCAATAGCTAGGAGTGGGCTCTGTGGTGCTCTTTACAAGCGTAAGGCACGTTTGACTTGTTGCCGAGAGGCAAGACTTAGCCAAAGGGTGGAGATGAGTGGGCAGTTTTGCTACGTATTTTAATATATTCTCTTTTTATGCGTATATTTAGATCTCGATGGATATTTGGTTTGCAAATTGTATACTGGAATCTTTGCAGTACATATATATTCGTCTCGTAAGCTGTATTGGTTTAACTGCCGCGTTATAAAGAAAAACTTTGTTTTTCAGGCGGAGTCTAGATTTTTTGCTTAAAAGCCTACTCTAAAAGGAAAACGAGAGCTTCAGTTGTATCTTTCTAGAGGTAAATTGTTGCTTCTAAGCTAACATTCTTTCCATGTGAATTCCAAGATAAATGATTTCGTTAGCTTGTGGGAAAGGCACATTATTGAGCTTAATAATATGGCGAGTTTTTGGCTTCAATGTAAAACATTTATATTTGCACTTCTTTTCATAAACTTTTATACGCCACTCTGCTAGTCATTTTTCAATCCGTACTCCCCTAACACTTGCTGAAATGTAGCATTTATTATAGCAGTTTCATCCGCAAAAGTTGACGTGATTACTTTGTCACTTTTAGGAATGCCTGCGGGGAACAAAATATACAAATATTGGTACAAGAACACTAACCTACGTAACACCTGTTGTGTTTATGCACTTTTCTGTTAAATAATCATTTACTTTTACAATCAATCATATGTTAGATAAATACGTTTCAAGGAATTTGTGGAACGTGATAGGTAATGATTGTTTTATTTTATGAATAAGTCCATCATGCACACCTTGTGAAATACTTTAGCCACTTTGAACTTCTCTTTTTGATTTTCTTTCGTGGCCTTTCCCCTTTTTTTAACCACTGCATCGACCACTGTTTGGACTTGGGATCATACTAACGAATCCAAGTTTCATCAATTGCCTCGATGCGGTTGAAAAATTCATCCTAATCATCGTCACACAACCCTCCAATCGTTGCTGCTTGTCGAGTGGTGTGAGCATTCGCGGTACCCAATGCGCACTAATTTTTTTCATATTCAAATGTTCACGCAAAATGTGCTTAACTAATATGTAATCCTTCTACTATCTGACACAATTTAATTCTTCGATTAGCTTGTACTAATTTTTCGACTTTCTGAACATTTTCTTCGGTGACCACCGCCACTGGGCGTCGCTGGGCGTAAGAGTAATCTTCGCAGGCATCTTTTCCTTGTTGAAGTAGTATCATTTCTCAGAGCGGCAGAATCCTGAGGAACAGGTGACACCTTCTTTCGGCGCATATTTTTTTTAAGGCATTGAATTACAGCGCGGTGCTCCAAATTGCGAGAATTTTCAGTTTCCGTTGCCATATCGTTTTTGCTTGTTCCAGGAGCGAAATGCTAATGGACCTAATCAAAAAATTTTTGTTATTTGTGCTAAGAATGTGTAATTATCAGCAATGTGTATTATCAGTATTATCAGTAGCTGAAAGCGAGGTAGCAGGTCTATATGATAACGCCTATTAGGTCGGGATCCATTTGTTCGATCCATGCCAGAAGAAGTCTGATAAGAAGATGTAGGGTAACAAAATTGCGTGTATAACAAAATCTTCAATCGAAACCAAAATCATTTTTAAACGAATTATGTTTTTAAAAAGCGATATTAATTTTGTTGAGTTAAAGTTAATACATTCTTAATACCACAAAATTAATATGGAGAAAAATATTTTATCCTTTAGTTAAGACTTTAGCGATTACTTGGGCTTTTGCAAATTATTTTGTCTCAAAAATATGGGCATCGAATTCAAAAATTACACGGTGCTAATCAATTAGCTGTTCATTATTATAAATAATTAATTTAGCCAAACAAAAACCTCATATATGTATATAAAATGAATTTTGTGTATAAAAAAGAACAAATAGATTATTTTGTATTCCCACAACGTGCTATTAACTTCCGTTATTCATTTCCCTTCAACACATACATACTCGTACATACAAACCGAGCTAATTAAATTTTGCTGCAAACGAACATTAAATTATATTCGTAGATATGTGTATTGCAATGCACAAAAACTTAATTACTGCGTTACATTTGTCATAATTAAAAATTCAAATCGCATTTAGCGAAATTTCCGATTTCAATTTTTTCACATTTTTACATTTTTCCAACATTTTCAGTATTCAATTATAATTATTTTAAAACAAATTTCTCCTACTCTTTTTTCGTATGCATTCATTTGGCGGCCTGCAACAGCGCAATCTCTCCAATCAAAGTCATGTCGTGCTGATGACGGTGCCGCTCAACATATCCGGCAAGTTTACATGCGAAATTTCCGTGGAGGCGCCAACCTTTCAAACCGCCATGGTCTCTGGTGAACTGGAAGTTGTGGGTAAGTGAAATACACACGCAAATAAATGTATGTGTAGAGAAAGTATAATGTATTTGTTAGTGCTAACGAGTTACAAGAAAAAAAAAAAATAAAATTAAATGTACTTTATGTTGGAAATGTCAAGAATGTGCTGATTTCAAAGCGTGATTTTGCATTCAAGTGCCAGCCAAGGCAAATTAATTGGAGAACTGTGAATTATTTTAGCACTCACACAATCGCTGACCTTTGTGACCAACCATGTTAGACACTACTAATTGATGCCTTTCCAATTCAAGAGTATACATTTTGTTTGAAAAAAATGATTTTTTCCACCTCCGAATGCACAATTTTTTAAATTTCTTCTTTAATATTTTTCCTTTCTTGTTCTTGTTACCATCTTTCTTCCATTCACAGAGCTACCAGAGGAGCAGGCCATTGTTACAGGCATCCAGCCACGATATCGCATCGGTGATTTGGTTGATGGCAATTGCTCAATTAAATACTCCAAGCCGGCTGCTAATTTGACATGGACTATTAATGGTATTGTGGTAAGTTGCGGGGCTTATTACGGTGCTCAAACAATCCTCTCACTAACACGTACAAACATACTTGCATTATTTTAAATTCTTTACTGGCCGTCATGGGCTCTTAATTTTTTATGTTTCCCTTTTGATTAGAATTTCGTTTATCCTATTTTCGGACATTTTGAACAGTTTTGGTTGTATTTGGTTTCTCGTGAATTCAATTGCCATGCATTAGCGCGAAGTGTAAGTACTTTTTTTTCAGGCATCCAGTGAATGGAGTGAGCAGTAAAGAGGTGGTAATTTATAAATTGATAGCTTTGGCGCATAAAAGTTGGCAACAAAATTCTCAACTACTTGTTAAAAAAAAAAAATAAGTCTAAAACGAATCCAGCGTAACATTGATTTTGCCGTGCATTGATTGCCAAGTTGAGTTTGGATCCCAATTAGGGTCATTAATTAGCGATTTTTTTGGCAAAGCTAAGTGCAGCTATAGAATTACAAATTTGAGGAAAACATTACAACATACATCCGGCAACATTTTATGAGCTATATAGTAGAAATTTTTATCAAGGTATTGTAATATTCAAAGGGGATATTTCTTGAATTTTTGTTAAAGGAATTCAATAATAAAGCAATCATTGCGCGAAAAAATGTAATAATCTGTAACATTCAAAAAAAAGAAAAACATCTTTTACCAGACTGAGGGTAACAATAACCGAATCATTGCCATTAGACACTGACCTAACGAAATGCGCTCATATACATACATACACGAATATACATACAATATAGGCAAAAAATTGTTGAATTTCAGATTCAAAGCGATTGTTTCGCACGGCACGTAGTCGTCGCATACGTTTCCCCAGCAGGACTTCTAAATAATATGCAAAACATACCAACGAATACATCCAACCGCATGTACACATACACTCCTACGCATGTTGTATAACAACAAATATAGGCGCAAAAAAGTGCACGCGTGGGAAAATCCGAAAATATGACTAAGCACCGCAACGCCAAAATGAAAAATCGCACTAAATGTTTTGTTGGCATGTTGATGGTGAAAAAGTCTATATGGTGTGAACCGACCAGAAAAAGTGTGGAAAATAAAAGCTGAACGAAATTTGGTTGGTCGTAGGAAAGGAAAAAAAAATTGCGGTAACCACATTGGCCGAACAAGTGAACACTGTTGATATGTATCTATGTATGCACCTGTTGGAAAGGAGGATGTTTGAAGGGGGCTAGATGACTCGACTCTGTGCTCAGGAAGATGGACGAGCAGATGCCCGCATAACGAACAATTTCATTTATTACCAACGTTTAAGGTTGGTTGAGAGTTGATGTTAGATGGTGTATTGAGGAGGGTATAAAACAATGAATGGGCATGTTTTCTGGGAATACTTCTCTTGTGTGAATTTTACAAACATTTCTATGTAAGTTTAAGGTATGCAGATAATTGTATGCAAAGCTTTAAGACATTTCTTATACTACATACTAGTAGATGCTTAAAACCACTGGTAATATTGTATATTTATAATGCGCTGTTCTGTGCGTTCTACGGCATAATAAATGTTAAGTGTGCCAACTTTCGGCTTAGCGCTGTGTTTAGTTAACTATATGGAGTCAAAGATGATCACTATATACAGGGTCCGCCATCTAACATTTTTTTTTGAACTAGTGGTTATTCTGAGAGTGACAACACTGATGTTACATCTGATTTGACAGAAAGTTAGTTTTATCCTTCCGCTGAACGAAAATGGTTGTGTATACGATTTAGGAACGCGTTAAAATAGTGCAGTTTTACTTTGAAAATGTGTGCGAAAATTAATCACGGAAATGAGCCGTAACAAAGCACCGTCCGCTCCGTATGTGCGCTTTCTTTTGAAAAAATTGAGAGAAACTGGCACAATTATTGATAAACCAACGCGTGAGAAACCAAAAAAAGTGCGTACTGACGATAATATCGCTGCTGTGGCCGAGAGTGTGCGTGAGGCGCCCGGAACATCAGTGAAGCGTCGCTCTCAACAATTGGACATTTCCCAGACGTCCCTTAGGCGAATTTTGAAAAAAGACCTTGGTATGATACCGTACAAAGTTCAATTGGCTCAAGATATGAAGCCACGAGACCATCCGATGCGGTTTGCCTTTGCCGAATGGGCATTTGTTTTATTGCATTTAAAAAAAAAAAATTGCGTGGCGGATCCTGTATGTAATATAAAGGGTTTACCAATGAGACGAGTTATCTTGAATAGCTTGCTATACCAGTATAGAAGTATTTCACTTTTGAGGTATAATTTTTTAACACTTGGCAGGTAAAAAACTACGCCATTAATAGAAATGGAACGATACACGCTTCAACCATACATAACAAGTATTAAAATTCACTATAAAATTGGTGAAACAAGGGAGGATTCGTCAAAGTAAAACATGTTCGGTTGTCGTGAAGTCGAGATATAGAAATTGGCGTAAAAATTGGAGTTGGAACCATTTAATGATGTGAAGTACAAAGCACGTGCACGACGCTCAAAAACAACTGGAAATATTGCTGCTGGAGCCCAAAGTTTTGAAGCAAATCCAAGTTTGTCCATTCCTCATCATTCTTTGGAATTAGAATTCCATTAAGTCATTAAACCGTATTCTGTATACCGACTCAGATTTAAAGCTTACAAGGTTCAACCATCAACGTCGTGTGTTTGCTGAAATGAATGAAAATGATCAGAAATTCAATCGGAAAATCATCTTAATTGATGACTTCGATTTCCACCTAGATGGCAACGTCAATAAGCAAATAGGAAAACAGAGATTTATTATTGAAAAGCCTATCCATGCTTAACGTGTAACTGTTTACTGCGGTTTATAGTCCATCGGGGTCAATGGACTTTACTTTTTCGAAAACTAGGCTGGAGCAACAGTAACAATGAATGGTTTGCGCTATCGAGAGATCCTAAATTCATTTTTGTGGTCGGAACTGGATGATATTGATCTGGAAAATGTCTACTTTCAACAAGAAGGCACTACCTGCAATACAAGCAAGGAAACCATAGATCTCTTAAGGGAAAAGTTTCCGAACCGTGTTATCTTTCGAAGAGGTGATCGCGATCGCCCACCCAGATCTTGTGATTTAACACTTTCTTGAAGGAAAATGTCTGGATCTCAAATAATAAATTCGTGAAGCTTTTGAGGTCATCCAGCAGTCAATTTGCGATTTTGGGAAGGAGAATTTCATGAAAAGAATACGTGTTGTGTAAATTATTAACTAGGAAGCGTAGCCGTTTGGCTGATAGACTTTTCATTATTAACGGCATATCTTCTTCTTTCCATAGAAGTAGACTTCCGATCATTTATCATTAGATTTTTCTTTGAATATCAAAATAACACCTCTTTTTGAAAACCTTTGTATTAACCATTCATTTTGAAAGTTAAAAACTTCATAGGAGTATTTTCACCGTCTAGTGAAGTACACAAGTACAACCTTACGGCATTGACTAATGAGGAAGCATTTTAATTGTACTTTTCAGGCAAATACTAAAACAAAATATATATAAAGAACAAAAAACAGTATGCAAACGATATAAAATTCCGTTTTAGGCGGCTTAAAACATTTTTTCACACTTTGCTTCACTTTTACGAGTATTTGATGATAATGCTTTTCATAGGTAGCAGCAACACCTGCGAGCATTTGGCTGTCACTCACTCATTCTCCACTTTTGCATATCCAACAACTTGCAACGGATATGAACATTTTTCCATTCTGCCTGGGCGGTTCTTTAGTGTTTCTTCTTTCATTTATTTTTATCAATATGGAAAAGTGGAAAAGTATGCGAAAACCAGCTTATACATACATACTCTGACAGACTCTGACGAGTTTGTATATGAATATTGCTGGCCTGTTTTTCATTTTGATTTTTATGGAAAAAAAAGTATTTGTCCTGCAATTTTTTTATCACTTTCCAGTTGATTGTTGACGTTGATGAAAACTTTTGACTGTTGGCAGTTGCAGTTGACACTGATTGTTGACACATCACGCACTCACCGTTCGTAATATTGTGTGTAATGGATGTGTTAAAAAATACACCCAGAAAAAAAACCAAGCAATAAAGTCACAAAACAATTGGTAATTGTCGCCTGCAAAAACGATAAATTGTGCATTAAACACACACACATACATACACATACATGCAGCACAAGCTCACAATAGCACATTGTAAATACAAATACAGAAAATAGGCCATGTTTATAATGCGATTCCTTGTTTTTCAAATAATGTTTCCAGTATTCACTTTGTTGGCGCTAAAATGCGCTCAAATATTTACTATACACACACACATATATATATGTCATCAACAACTGTCAACTGGTAATAACACCAGTAATAATGCCAACACATACGAGTATCCGCAAGCGTATTAATAAAAAAATGTATACTCAATACAGAATATAGACATGCAATTCGCGGAAAAAATAAAAATAAGAAATAAATGTCATCAAAAAATGAAAAATAAAAAAATCCGGATCCGAGTTGGAAATATTGTCACATAAAAATCATAAACAAACCCGTAGTCATCGGCATCGTCATCGTCACTGTCATCAACATCACACAACAACAGCCTTAACATCATAGTTATCAACATTGCAATCACTCGAAATTATACTCGCGTTGCTTTCACAAAAACATAAACAAAATCATATAGACCGCTCAATCGTTCAATCGCCAAGTCACCGTGTGTTACGGCACCGACTGACAAATTTGATTTGCTGCGCCTCAAGGTAGGCTATGCTGCGTTGCTTTGTTGTCTGTTAGTTCACCTGCCGCTGTCTGCCAATGCTTCGCGTACGCTTTTGACTTTTAAGTGTTGCTTTTGCTGACAGTTATTTGTATTTTGTTTGGGTTTATTGTTCTGTTCCAGCAACAAACAACGATGACAGGTCGAAACTGTTAATCGTGTAGGATTGTTAAATTTGGTTGACTGCACAGAAAGGAATTCATGAACGTAAACTTCATAATACTGAAAGGGTTGTTTGAT